TATTTTTCTGTGGCCTTCAAGCCCACGCCTCCATTTGCTCCAGTTATAATGCACACTAAATGACAAGTCAAATCAAAGCGTCCAGTTTGAATATCTTTACTTCTCTGGATGAAGGGGAGGCGTGGATGTTGGGGACTCTCTCGTTTTTCAGACAATTTGATGAGCTGATAGCGAGACTCTACAAACAATCCAATAAGTCTGGCTACAATGGGCAGTGATATAGGCATCTCTTGACCTGTTTCATCTCAACTGTGTCCACTGACCCAGCTTTCTCCAACGTCAACCTGGGCGAGGCTCAACATTGTTGATGAAGTTGGGTATACCCAACTACTTATTCAGCAGAATTGAAAATGAAAAGGACGCAATTACGGTACATGCACTCAATATTGCTAGAATTGTGCTGTCACCAGTTTTTAAAAAGTCTGTACATGTTTTATGCCATGGTTGGGGTGACTACATGTAAATTGTTGTTCCAAGGAAGACTTATTATTGAAAGTTTTTGTAGATTCCATACAATCCTTGTGAGGACACTGTGAGGTAAGCACAAAATAATAGCCAAGTGATGGTGTTTCCTTAAGTTAACCTTGCTTTACTCGTCCACTGCCCTCTCTATGCAAGGGAAGGACGCCAGTGAAGGCTAATTTGAGCTGAGCTCTCATTGGATATAACTCAGCAGGTGACCAGAGGACTTGGATGGGCTTAACAGTTTACTGCACGGCGGGTGCATCTGCACATAACTTACATCCGTTACATAAACCTCTGAATTGATTTCTCCTAACAAAGGAAGCTACCGTGGGGTTCCTGCCCCATAATTCTAGCTGTACAGGCATTCTAGGCCTTGGTATAGCTATTAAGCCACTGTGCGTAGTGGGCGGGGCTTACTGGATCGGTCATTCAAGGAAGAAATTTGCAAAAACTGGGGACGGATGAAACAAAAACAAGGGCTGGGGACACAATATGATGCAACATAACCTCATATAAGACCCACAACATGCTGGTGTGATGTTTCCCCTATGATGTCTAGCCAACTTTATGAAACAGATAATGCAGTACCCCACAACTCACGAGAGCCCCAGACCCAGCGGCAGTAGTGCCATGACGAACCTGGTTGTTCAAGCCTTCTGGGCTAGGACCGAGTATGAGGCCACTGCCAGTGGCCTGAGGCCTATTACTTTTTAGATTATTAGGCCTAGCCCTGGAACAATCAGGACTACCGTCAGTGCCAATGTTACCTCTGTGTGATGTTAGTAACTGCATGGTAGTCCTGTAGCCTGGCCTAAAATTGAATAATCAGGCCTAGGCCTTCTACTTAATTCCAGAGAAAACTTGACTTGCATTGTTACAATTGCGAATTGGACTAGACTGTCTTGACAGCCAGCCCGTTTGTGATTGTATGAACATACCTTTACAGCCCTTGTTCGCTGAAGCTTCAGTTTCTTCACTCGGTTCTGCCATTGTCATATATCACTTCAGTCAATGTACCGTGAAAACATTAACAACATATCGAGAAATAATGCCAGAAACGATCAGACTCTTCGACTTTTTGACGTCGTGGGATGCTGCCGAGGGGCCGGTACCGATATAGTAATAAGTATTATTATGCGTAGCGCTTTTGTGAAGCGCCCTCTGTGTATAAATGTATACATCAGGTGCATGTGATGTGAGGCGACAAATCCGAGGAGAGCTTTCGGCCTCGGCTAAAAAAACATAACAAACTTTTTTTTTGGGGGGGGGGGAAATTTGGAATAGACCTACATACAAATTGTTCTCAGAAATTACGGATTGAGTGCTTATATAAGTAAGTGTCCTGAATAATAAACGAGATTCTTTAACCTTTCACTGCAATCAGTCGAATTTGGTGATGAAAATAATTTGAAACAAACGTGTCCCTTAAAAGGTTTCGGGGCAATGAATAACATCTTAGAGTGATGAACACTGCAAAGTTGTGATAGTTAACCTCTTTTGTACGATAATCAAATAAAATATTTTGCATCAATTTTAGATAATTTTATTTCCAAGAGTTTTGCCGGTAGGCGTGTGACGGTGAAACAACAAATCGAGCATTTTATCTTCATTTTTTAACACTGGTGATCTGTTGGTACTCCATGCTGCCGACTCGATTTGGCAGACTGAAACAGCCGAGTTAGTGATAGTACTTTGTGAAATGAAATCTAACGAGGAGTACAATTACAATAAAACAACGAAAATGTAGTTTTTATTATTCTGTTTATTGTCCCATTGTTTCAAGATCAAAGTCTCATCGAAGCCAAATGATCATCAAAATTGCCACACAAATACAAACTAAATACTCAAAGAATCCTGCCTCACCATCCGGGCGAGCACTACTACAGTAGTAATGTCAAAAGAGCCAACGGCCATGTTTGGAGGCGGAAATGAAAAAAAGACTCAGGGCTATGGGGATCTCAGCGCCCGTCTTCCGTATCCTCTTTAATTATTGGTTTAGGGGGTTGGTTCAATCGTGACAAAGGGTTATTTTTCTGGGATAGAATACCGGCCTGCAAATTTCACACAACCTATGGATTTTTCCCCGTGGAAAGACTGACATGCACATGAAGGGCAGCTTCGTCGTCCTTTGAATCGCCCGTGCTCATACACATAGGCTATAGATCCATCTACGAGCGAAGTCCCAATCCCACTATAAAGACTGCCCCCATCCAACTCTGGGTCTTTCAACCAATCACAATGGTTTATGTCCAACGCGCACGTGCATCGGTACGTCCTTGTGCTCAGTGGGTGGGGCCAAACGGATCAAGTGTAGTGACTTTCGTTTCTATTTTTGTGGAACTGAAATACTCTCCTGCCCCTCAAAATTATGGTATGTAGGTTTGGTACACTTTTCTACGGCAAAAATACCAAGGAAATGCTTTTAAAAACTTGCTTTGGAAATCCGGGTAAAAACTACTTACAGCAACGGTAAAGGATCTGAGACAGACATGGTGATAAAGTATTATTCATTACTAAAACCTTGAAAATAATAACTCATCATTTCAAAGGCAAGATTTGATCACATATAGTGCATCTCTCTCATTTTCTTCCTTTTCTGTCTTCAAAACATAAAACCCAACTGGAAGATTTGAAGAAAGACCCATTACATACCATCCAATTTAACAATTACACACAATTCTGTCTTGATGAAAGTTCTTTAAATATATTATATTTATATATTTAAGTCACAATTTGAGGCAGACTAGACTAATTATTCATAAACAATTTGAATACTGAAAGACATTCTGTTTCTTTTTTTTATCGATTTCCGAAAACCAGATTTTAAAAATAAATACTGATAAAACATTTTTATAACTCCATCTGGCGGGATATTCTTGCCAAATTTGGGTACTTCATTTCTTAATGCTCAAAAACTGTGGCAAGTCATTTAGATCAGGCAGTCGACAAAATTTATTTTGCCAGTATCCGAAGCACATGTTTTTTCAAGAAAAAAAAGGGGGGTTCTTCAAGAATAAATATTTCTACAGTTACCTTTCAGCATTTTAGTTTCCACGTGTTGACAAACTCTGAAATTAGGAAGACTCCCTCTCCCTATAAAAATAAAACACGAAGAGCCAGAAATGGCAAAAAGTAAAGGCAAAAACAATTTCAGAATTGGTTCACAATTTGGACAATGACAATCATGATGCATAATGATGTTACAATCTTCATAAACTGTACATTGGTAGTATAAAACATGAAATACATCAAACACAAATGAAATGAACAATTTTTTTACAGATATACACATACATATATATGTATACTTATATACATATAATTGCAAAATACACAATCCATTGCAATCTGAAATGATAAAAAAATGAACCAAATTTTCACAAAGCTGCTGAGTGCAGAAAGTCTTACTCTGCAAGACACTGTCACAAATATGTAAAAACAAAACCTCAACAAACACAACTGTGACATTGCCAAAAAAAGCCTGTCTGAATCAACTCAACTTTCAATGGTTTCAAGAGTTATGGCTTTTCAAATTGCTGAGCAAGTTTTCTGCATATAGCAGCTTAGTGGAATTTGCCTAAGTCTGTGATGGGTTTCTTGTTCAGGCTATGCTCGAGTTCATTACTCATGTTAACACAAGTATACTCCTGAGTACACAAACGGCAGGAGTATAACCCACAGGTGAGCAAGAAAGTACTCTCAATCAGATTGGAAGTATACTCTTGTATCAAGTGATCATTGAAAGATGACAGAAAGGTACACTTTCTCCATGATCTGATTCCGAGAGTAACGTGCAAGGAATAATTTGCTGCAGGGATACTCTGCAAATTTGGGGTCAAAGTTTTCCTGTGTATCTGTCACATCAGCCAAATGATTTTGCAAGTTTAAAACACAATCTTTAACTTCTAACAGGGATTAAGTAATGCATATTAGCTGCTACACAATTAAAACAGTTTGGAGTTCACTTTCGTGATGTTTCTGTATCAAATTCCACGGGTCAGGCGTAATGGGAACACCACAACTGTTACACCTGTGGACCCCAAACTTACAGAGTGACCCCTGCAGCCCCAAGCTTTGAGAGTAACAGAAGTGCACGCGGCCGATGCTGTCTTGTAGCACGGCACTATCTGTAGCTTCTACCTTTTTTGCCCTTTTTTTTTCCCGCTTTGCTCTCTGTAAAACACCAATTTCGCTCCAATATGGCTGGTATCAGCAGAATCAGTAATGTGGGTTTTCTTTGTGCAAGAGTAGATCCAGAACTGTATTCTGGGGGG